TTGAATCTTATTAAAGATCTTTTAATATCTTTACCAAATCTACAATATATTGATCTCACCTCAATCCCATGTTTTACCATTTTAAATACGAACAATTTACTTACTGATATAAAAAAGAATAAACATCCTATTCACACAATTGAAATGAGTGAATCATTACTTAAAAAACTTTACGTAGTTGATGGATGGAAAATTGATATGAATTATGGTAGAAGGTGGTATTACTCTCGGGAGGTTCAAAGAGAAGCAATCCGACCTGATAGAGTAAATGGTAGAAAATTAGATATAACTGAATATGGTCCAGAATTTATGAGCAAGATTTTTCAATATTATAGTTTTGATGCATGATATATAAATTTAATTATTTGTTATTAGATATTTTAGTTTAATTTTTCTAAGACATATAATTGCAAGAACTTTTTTTTTTTTTTGAAAATAACATTTCACAAAAATATAGATATATAAATATTTGCTTATAAATTTTGTAAAATAAGAAAAAATTGTAAATATTTTTAAATAAAATCTACTTAAAAAGTAAATACATTTTCATGATTAAATAATGGGATTCCGAAATATTAAATTACAATACTAAATTTTGCAGAAGATAGTCTGATAATTTATCTTTCAAATTATCAATTCTAGTAAATTTATAAATTTAGGAGAAAAAACGATATCGGAGTAATATCAATATTCGATATAATAAAAAGTAAACTTTTTTTGATGGTTAGGAGTAAGGTGCACTAGAAATGTTCTAAGTAAAGATAGCATACAGAGAAAAGAATTTACATTGCATCATTGTCTATGTAATTTAATTGGTTAACCCCAATTTTTTCTAAGTTTATTAAATAGATAATATTCAACGATTGGTCGTTTCAAAAGCTTTAAATCGATTAGTTCAACTTGACCAATATTTTAATATCACTATTTCTTTACGAGTGATATGTATTATTACATATTTGTTGTAATTGTGCACGTTGAGAACAGTGAAATCAATCTTTTTTGAAAGTACAGTACATTTACCAAATCTTTATTATCTGTTATTTACGATCGTATTTCACGCGTAGGCTACGAGACTATGTAACTACGTAGAAAATTTACGATAACTTTATGATTTTCCTTAAATAGAAGGCTCCAGCTTTATAAAACGTAGCTATTTTATTATAACGCACAGGGGTGTTATTTTGAATTTTGGCCCGAATTAAACTTAATTTAAGCCAAATTTTGAAATCAAACCCTGCGGTTATTTCGCGCTTGTATAGTAGGGTAATGAATTTTGGGTTTACCTCAGAATCTGACAGTGCCAAAACCCCGAATCCCTACAATACCAGGACTTTAAATTGACGAGATTTTGGTATTGTCGAGATTTTGTTTTCGGGATTTTGAGTGTGGTAAACCGGTAAACTCGTGTCATCAAGCTTTGTACCAATTTTTTACAATAAATCATGATTGAATTTACGACTGTAATTCCAACATATACTTAACCACATACTGTGTATTAGCGTAAATAGATTGTAAAATCTTTTTAGCAAAGTAGATAGTTAGTAAGCTTCGTAACAATTCTTTATGATATAAATTATTATAATTCCAATACCGATAAATCAAATAGAGGTTACCACAATTTAAATAAAACTGATAAGGGATCCTTGATTTTACACGTATTTATTGGTAAAAAAAAGTTCCATAAACAAATTAGAACTGACAATGTTCAACTCTATTATTTATTAAATAATTATAATTTTCGACCTAACATTAACTATAACTATTACTGTATTAGCTAATTATTGATATCATGATTCCTTGTTAGATATTAGATAGTCAATTTTGATGTGTACATCTCTAGAAAGTATCCTAAATTTAAAATATCAAAATGTTAATTTACACTAATGCGACGTTATCTACCGTAATAAGTAGTACCTACGTACATTAAATTAAATAAGAACATTCCACTAATTTGAATAAATAAGAACATTCCACTAATTTGTTATAAAAACTACCTACGTACATTAAATTAAATTCGGTCCTAATTTGATGCATAGTTGCATGACGCGTAATTATCAAATTACTGATCGATTTATTGATAGAACAAGTGACCGTAATGTTCATTAAAATCATGTCGCATGATTTGAAAAAAAAATTTTTGGAATGGCCCGGTTTAAAAAATTGTAGATTATTTGGCCAGATCTAGAACAACCCAATTTTAAATCTGGTAAAATGATCTGCAATAATGGCGGCTTTCCCATGAGCAACGTTTCACGACATTTCATAGTTATATAGAGATGTATATATATTTATATAATTTTTGAAAGGTTTAACCATTTTTACGCGTAGAATGATAGAAATACCAAACGAGTGCTTTTTCGAAATATTCAATAACTTTCAGACCGATTTTGAAAGTTTATTTTCGTGCCTTCTTGTAAACCGATATTGGTGTAGAATTATTATACCAATATTATGGAGTAAACCAACGAATTATTTCAGCGATAGAAAACTTATAGAAATGTATCTTTTATTACTGAACGCTGAAGAACAAGCATCGTTAATCCCTTTTAATATTGTTCTTCCAAACTATTCAAGACCTTTATTTGAGTATGCAAGTTATACTACTTCTGTTGGGTTTCATTTAACTGATGGTATCATAAATTGGCTTGTTGATGAAAAATCTGATGAAGAATCTGATGTAGAAAATGAAGAACATGATGTAGAAGATGAAGATCCTGATGTGGGATATGAAGAATCTGATGTAGAAGATGAAAAATCTGATGTAGAAGATGAAGAGTCTGATGTAGAAGATGAAGAGTCTGATGTAGAAGATGAAGAGTCTGATGTAGAAGATGAAGAGTCTGATGTAGAAGATGAAGAGTCTTATGTAGAAGATGAAGAGTCTTATGTAGAAGATGAAGAGTCTGATGTAGAAGACGAAGAAGATTATTATATAGGATATGCATATGATGATTATGAATATAAGAATAGGCTTGTAAAAGCTGTTAGATCCTCTTTAATTGCAATGTTTATACGAACAAGTGACAAACTTAAATATTTAACAGTAAACGGAAATGTTGATATAAAGATATTCAAAAGTCTTTATACAAATACTACGATAACTGATTTGACGCTTAATTTTGATCATTTTGATTCCGAGGAGATAAGTGTATTGAAAAAGATTATTACGAACAATACTACTTTAGCTTATTTAAATCTTTCTCATAATCATCTTGGCTCTGAAGAAGTGAAGGTTATAGCAGAAGCTCTTCGCGTAAATACTACAATAACTTCCTTAAAAATCAACAATAATATGATGGGTTTCGAAGGAGAAAAAGCATTGGCAGAGACTCTTTGTAAAAATTCTGCATTGACTTCTTTAGATATTAGTTATAATGAGTTTAATTTTAAAGAAGGAAAGGCATTAGCTGAGGCTCTTCGCGTAAATACTACCCTAAAAATTTTAAATATTAGCAATAATGAGATTGGTTTTGAAGGAGGAAGAGCATTTTCTGAGGCTCTTCGCGTGAACAATACTTTAACTACCTTAAATATTAGCGATAACCCTATCGGTTTTGAAGGAACAAAAGCATTAGCAAAAGCTCTTTCCATGAACACTGCTTTAACTTTCTTGAATCTTTCCTATAGTCATCTTAGTCCTGAAGAAGGAAAAGTGCTAGCAGAAGCTCTTTGCGTAAACACTACTCTGAAATTTTTGACGATTTACGAAAATAAAATCGGTTCTGAAGGTGCAAAAGCACTAGCAGAGATGCTTCACAAAAATGTTACTTTAACCTTTTTAGATATTAGCGGTAATGGAATTGGTTCTGAAGGAGGAAAAGCACTAGCACAAGCACTTCGTATAAACACCACTTTAAATTTTTTAACGATTAGAAATAATAATATTGGCTTTGAAGGTGGAAATGCTATAGCAAAGGCCCTTGGCATAAATGCTGCTCTGACTTCCTTAGATCTTTCTTATAATAGGCTTGATTTTAAAGTTGGAAAAGCTTTGGCAAAAGCTCTCAGTAAAAATATTACATTGAGCACCTTAAGCTTTTATGGCAATTGCAATATGAACAAATTAAGGGAAATATTCGACAAAAATACTGCACTAAAATGTCTATTATTAGGATAGCTAGCTTAACTTTATGAAAAAAAGTAGTATTATTGTCATGTTAAATTTTATCAACAGATGCAAATATTGAATAATAAAAACGCTGTAAAAAAAAAAATAGTGTGTTCTTTGTTAAATTAGAAGAACTTCTTGTAATATACTTAATAATACGTGATTCTTAATTGTCGCATTCAATAATTTATATAGTATCAAAAATTTTTTTTTAATAGATCAAGTGTATAACAATCGATCTAACATTTGTAGTCCTATCGCTAAATGTACTACAGTATAACGATAAAAATTGAATTTTAAATCCGAAATTAAGCACTCTTTTTTGCTCATAATGCTGGCCAATAATGGCATAGTGTGGGTCATGGGTGCTTAATTTCGTCACCATTCTTCGTCAATAAATTAACGATTTTGCCGATCTGACAAATTCGCACTATTGGATTTACTACAGCACATGACATAGATTTGATTACAGTAATTGATATCTGAAGCTAGAGAATCTACGGACGGTGCATAGAGACAGTGCAAATTTCGTGTAAATTTGCATTGTCCCTATGCACTGTCCGCAGATTTCTTTGGTTTCTATTTCTGATTGACGAATTAACGAATGGGAAACCTATGACGAATAACAAACCGATGACGATTTGAATATCATTTTACTTTCAAACAAAATGTAAACAATCAAATCAGTCCACGTAAGGTTAATTTTTCTGGTTGCATTATCTTTCATTTCAAATCTTTTCTATAGACACATTTATCCAACATTGCCCGAAGACCCATGAAGTATTCAATTCACTGATGGAGATAACTAATAATTGATCTCATTTAGTATTAACAAAATATATTGACTTTAGAGTAGGGTCACATATTATTTTCTAGTATATTTTTGTTTATTCTTTAATAACTCTTTTCTTCTTTTAAGTGCTTTTTTAATATATTCGTTTACCCTCCCTCTTTTATCTTTGCTGTTAGCTCGACGCAAGTTCAGCTTTGTCGTTAACACCGCCCTCCCACCGCCGGGCGAAACCTCAACCCGGATGTCGAAGATAAATACTTTGATAGCCCGCCTGAACAGCTCGGATATCAAAGAAAGGAAGAGTAATAATAAGATAGATGTGCACGGTGCTATAGGGTATGCGATATCACAAGTAATCTCTTTAGAGCGTTTTTATTTTTTATTTTCATATGGAGTAAAGCAAAAACTGATTACAAAAATTTAATAAACTCTAAGTAAACCAAAAAAAAAGCTCTATTACTTCGAGATACTAAAAGGATTCTGCAAATATATTTTTGGTTGTATTTATTTGGTGTTTCATGAGTTCTATTCGTTTAAATTTATGTTTTTTTCTGTTAGAGTAAACAAATCGTTATTATTCAAATTTATATAATGGTCTTCATTATTTGTAAATCATAGAATATCGCATGCCCTAACGATGCTATCCCGTATACAGTACATGTTTCTACAAGAGCCTAGCTAATAGTATCAAAATTACATCTTATAAGATCTTTGTTTTCAAAAATGTGCTAAATTTCAAAATATAAAATATTTAACATGATCTAATTCATTTGTTATAATTCCAAACAAAAAATAATTCAATTGTTTAGCTTGTTAAAATATATTTCTTATATATTATTTTTATTAAAAAATTAAAAATCACTATTATGCTTTTTGCTATAGTATTAAAAGATATTTGCTTTATTTGAAAAACTTTGTTAGTAAGTTCTATAAAATCTAAATTATACTCTCTTTTATTTTGTTAAATTAAATTTTTAATTATTCATTGGTCTTAAATTTTGACAAGCGCTTGGCTATTGTATAAATTCAGAATATATCTTAATGATATTTATGTTCAAGCTATATCACTAAGTTGTTGAACTATATTTTTTTGGAATTATTTTAAGTTATTATTATATTTAAAGCTATTTGTTCTGAGAATTTAATTTATCAAATAATTCCCTATAGTATGTACAATGCATTCGTAAAATTTCTTTTTCATTTATAAAATTTCTTTGAATGTTTTCTATTTTTCTTTGTTAATTGAAGACATAACAGAAATAATATAATTTTTAAAATTTTTAGTTCGCTCATTATAAAAAGGTACTGCTATAAAGCGAGTTGACCGTACTTAATATGTAGAGTATGTTACAGTGATTTCGGAAGTATGTAAGGATAACAAAGCTTAAAAGTGAAACGTCTTTAACATTAAGGAACACTAGTATTATTCTTTTTTAAGATACGATTCAGCGTAGATTATGAGAAAAGTTTGTTTTTTTTTGTAAACTATATGGTATGTGTTTATTTGAGAGTTATTATCATACTTTTAAAGCCAATATATTTTTTTATACGCGTATTACATTAAGAACTTTGACGTTTTGGTCGTAAAAATTTTGAAATTATAATTTATAAACATTATAAAAATAAAGAATACAAAAAAATATTAGAAGCTGAAGATTATGAAATGAAAGGAAACGTACATTTTTGAAAATAACAAGAACATGATTCGAGTAAAAATTAGAATTATTTTTAATTGTCGCAAATTCGGACTGATTAATGCGCCACCAACCTGGCACACGTTTAAGAGATGCGATTTTAAATAGTTATTACGTAACTGATTTGGTGGATCGGGAAGTGTTAATTTGATAGTGACGACATTATGACTTTACCAATAGTAAACTTTATTGCTATACGTATACACCTCATTATAAGGTCACAATTTAATAAACGATAAAGTTAACAGAGTTGATATAATGATGGTAAAATCAAACCGATTTAATATTAATATATCTTAGTGTAGTCGATTATATCAGTTTATCACAATACATACTCATGAGATAGAGATAAAAATCGCTTTTTATAATTTTTTTCTTTTTTTTTTTTTTTTTTTCGCAAACAATAAATTTAAATCAATCTTCTGCGCAATAATGATGTTTTCTGAAAAATTTAAGTCTACCGAAGAATCTGTAAAAAATGTTGGTACAGGAATCTATTCCAGTCTCCCTGAGTGGGTTAGAAGTATTGGTGACTACAGTTATGATATTGCATCAAGATACCAAATTTTAAAAGATTTTGCCTTTGCCTTTGGAGCCCTGTTCGTATTTCCGCTTTTACTTTTTATTAGTTGGTCTATTGGATCACTTGTCACGACCGTTATCATATGTAAGTAATATTTCTCAAAATGATAAACTTTGTTGCTACATTATATTTATGACAATAAAAAGATGAGTATTTTAACAATCGATTCTAAAATATATTTAATATATAAGGGGCAGTTGCATACGCCGCGATAAATGGTTTCTTAATCGGAGGCGCCCTCCTTGTGCTCATACCTGTGTTTATAATCACGTTAGTCACAGCGGCGACTATTACTAGCATCACCACTATTTGTAGAGGAACCGTATGGACTGGTAACCTTGTTTTTAAGTCTACCCTGAACTTTCTTAGGAATGATAATAATCTTATTACAAATGGTGGTGAATATGGTTCTGCTGAGGGGAGTACGACTAGGAGAGACATTTACGCGCGTTAGGACAAGTGGCAATACTAGTGAGGAAGTTTTTGCGGAAAATGGTGATGTGTTTGAAGAAAGTATGTACGAAGAAGATATGAAACAATTGGAATGTGCGAACACAATGAAACGATTGGTGTTTATAGATAAATTGAATAGGTATTTTAGTAGAGCAAAAAGAGTTCCTGGGGTGGTTATTACCGAGATGATTAAGCTTTCACCTTACCATGCGCTTGTTTTTATTTGTTGTGTTCTTTTAGCTAAGGCATGGTAAAATTTGGATCTACAAAATGCGATAATTTCACAATTCTCGTTATTTTTATTAATAAATTTTTTTTTAAAAGTTATGTTTGTTTATCTGAATATGAAGATTGACATGGACAAAAATCAGCATTAAAGTATAACTTCAAAGTCAATAAATAATTCGATCTTTGCACAGTATATGAAGTTTTCTATACGTTATTTCGAGATTTTAATTGGTCTCCGCTATGTCGAACATTCTAAATTTTAGGATTACGTCTTAAAAATTTTAAATTTGCATTTATTAAATTTATAATAAATTCATTAAGAAGCAATCCGTGTTCTTTCATGTACCTCGAATATGTGCTAGGTTGGTAGAACAAGAATCAGCAAGTGATAAAAGTTCATATCAATGTTAGCTTTTTCGGTGTTTCGTGAAATGTTTTGAGCCGTCCACCTTGTAAATCACGAAATGTCCACTTTGATTGTGGGCTGTAATTCATTATGCTCGTTTAAATTTATTAGGACATTCTCAAAAGTATCGGTCGCAAATAAAGTAACAAAATCAATTTTCGTTTAAAAAAAAAGACCGAACGTTGTTTCGTTAGTTAATTATCCACCTTTTTTCAGCCACCTATGTTCTTCATTCTGTTGCAGCATTTAACTATTATACGTGTAAATTGGCACATATTTAAGGAACGCGTTACAATTTCTTAAAATTTATAAAACTAAGGCATCAATATCACTTTGGAGTTTTCACACTAGTTTTTGCTCGCCAAATCGACCGGGTTAGGTTCATAACCAATTTTTTTTTTGAGATTCAGGATAATCTCAAACGTCTCATTCGATAGATCGGTGACAATTTTAATTAGCCGGAAATCGAGTAAATTAACTAAGTGAGTTATCATATTATTTCATAGTTACTCTGTTAGATTGACTAAAATTTTGAATTTATAGCCAATCGTTCTTTAATTAACCGCAATAGCACTTAATAACAACACCTCGATCACTAATAAATCATATTGAGAGGACTGCTTGAGAATACCCTTAGCAAAAAGCACCCATTTTCTGTTTTTTTTTTTTATACCACATGAACTAATTTGAAATCATCTAAATCGTCTACACATTAAATATAACGTTATTTATTATGTGATCAATGGAAGACTAAAATGATAGATGTTATCAACAAGTATCAAACAAATGTTTAGAAACTATTGTTTTTTTAAAAAAAAGAATTATTCTTTATAATTTATTCGGTCTAAAAATAGAAAAATATTATATGTTGTATTTAGAAACAATCTTTGTTTGACCATGGTTGGTTTGAGCCTGTTATGCAATGGCATAATATGTAATCTTACTAGATATTTAATTATTTTATTTGATTTCTTCTTATTAAGAAAATTTGTTATTAAATTGCTAAAATACTGTAGAATTTAACAAATTTGTTATTTGAAATTCTAAACCAAAAATCTGTAATTTTTTGTTTTAGTACAAGCTTTTGTAATTATTATTATTATTTTTTTTAAATTATTTATTTGTAGGTTTAAAAATAATGCAATAAGATTAACTTTTTTAATTCTTTATACTAAAGAAAAAAATAGCTTATAGTTTTAACTAAATAATATAACTTTAATATTAGCAAATAGTTTTATTGAATAACAATTTTTTTTTTTATTGTTGTTAAGGTGTTTTGAAAACTAGGTTTTTATTGATATTTTTATATATATATTAGATTACAATAATCTTTTTTATAATAAAGGTACAACTAGCTACACTTACAACTTTAGATTGTCTATTTAAGTAGTTTTCCCGAAGGTTTCACATTAGTTGTTATATATATAATTTACTTGAAGATTATTTATTTAAACTCTCTAGCTAGCATAGTCGTTAGATGAAATCTTGAGATTTTGTGCTAACAAAATATGAAATCTAATTTTATCTTTTATTAATTAAAATCTTAAATAATGAAAAGACGAAGAGTGACAAAGCTAACAAAAGATGAAGAAACGGATTACTAGATTTTGAAAATTTACTTGTTAAATGTTGAAGCAACGAAAATCGAATTTACAAAAGAAAAATGATCATTCATAATCGTAAGTCAATTTTATCCAAATTTAAGGTTTATTTTAAAGATTGTTATATAAAAATAAATACGTAATAAAGTACTAAATTTATTAACTTTAACAATATTAAGAACTCTTATAATAATTTGAAATATATAATCTAAAAACTAGTTCTCTAAGTAATATCATAATTTAAACAAAGCAATGATTTTTTTTAGAAAGATTCTAAAAATTATATATAGCATTTGATATAAACAATTCTTGCTATTACTAATAATTACTTATAATATACTAAATTAGCAAAATAAATATTTTTATTAGAAATCAAATCTTTAATATAAAACAGCACTCACATTATGTAATTGCATTATTGTGTAACTCAAATCCCAATATTATAATCCCAATATTATAATCTAGAAAAATAATCAAAAAATAAATATATTTGATTTATAGATATTCTAATCTGAAATAATTTTATACTTACCGCTAAAATCAAAACCTTACTTCATATACAGTATATTTGATTAGAGAAATTTTATTCACTTATAGATATTCTAATCTGAAATAATTTTATACTTACAAGCTAAAACAATAATTTAATTCATATACAGTATATTTGATTAGAGAAATTTTATTCACTTATAGATATTCCAATCTAAATAATTTTATACTTACGAACTATGAACAATAATTTGATTCATATACAGTATATTTGATTAGAGAATTTTATTCACTTATAGCTATTTCAATCTGAAATAATTTTATACTTACCGCCTAAAATCAATAATTTAATTTATAAGTATATTTAATTAGAAAATTTTTATTCACTTATAGATATTCTATCTGAAATAATTTTATACTTACCGGCTAAATCAATAATTTAATTCATATACAGTACATTTAATTAGAGAAATTTTATTCAATTATAGATATTCCAATCTGAAATAGTTTTATACTTACTAGCTAAACAATAATTTAATTCATATACAGTATATTTAATTAGAGAAATTATATTTACTTATGATATTTTAATCTGAAATAATTTTATACTTACAACCTAAAATAATAATTTAATTTATATATAGTATATTTGATTAGAAAAATTTTATCCACTTATAGATATTCCAATATGAAATAATTTTATACTTACCAACTAAAACAATAAATTAATTTATATACAGTATATTTGATTAGAGAAATTTTTATTCAATTATAGATATTCCAATCTGAAATAATTTTATACTTACTAGCTAAAACAATAATTTAATTCATATACAATATATTTGATTAGAGAAATTCTAATCTGAAATAATTTTATACTTACGAACTAAAACAATAATTTAATTCATATACAGTATATTTGATTAGAGAAATTTTATTCACTTATAGATATTCCAATCTGAA